CGCCGCTGCAGCCGCTGCCGTCGTCGCCGTCTTGCCACTCCACCAAGGGCACCAACGAGCCGCTATTTGCCGGCCGTCCGCGTGGCCGAGCTCCCCTCCCCCCTCTCGCGCGCACCCCTTCTCGCGCTCAGCCGCCGCTCGAACGCCGGGGCTGCTGCTGTCCCGGCGACGTGGCCACTTCTGTTCCGTCCAACTCGCCTCCACCGCCTTGCTACAACCCTGACGACGTTGCTGCTGCTTCCTTTCCCTGTTTCTCTATCGCTGTTCTCTGCCTCGGCCTCCCGTCGCTGTCCAGCTGCCGTCGGAGCTGCTGCCATTCTGGCGAGGCCCCTGCTCGCCTCTGCTGCTGCCGCCTTAGCCAGAGCCCCTTGCCGCTTGGCTGTGGCCCAGAGCCTCGCCGATTACCGTTGTCACTGCTGTTCCGGTAAGTCCCCACTGCCCTTGCCCGTTTTCTTGCTCAAGTCGAGGTAAGTGACTCCCTAATCCCGACTTAGGATGATGGGTATTGCTAGGCTTATTTAGGGGTTTGTGCGTGGGCTGAATGTAGTGGATATAGTGGCTGTTCGAGGCTGATTTGGTGGCCGTTTAGCGCAATTTGGTGGCTGAGTTGTGGGCTGGTTCGGGGTGAATGAATGGGTCAGAGTATGGGCTGAATCGAGATGTTTTATGACTGATTTTTGTGGTTGGATTGGGTCGTTAGTGCTGGAATTTATGCCGAGATCGTCGATCGTTCGTGCGTGATTTAATGGTCGTTTGACGGTAGTTCGTGTTGATGATTCGTGATGGGGATAACACGCATATTGTGAGCTGTGGCTTAGTGTGATTGTATGAGCGGCCGTTGATGCTAGAATATCAATTTAGTGTGTGATTGTCCCATGTGGTCCAATGCTTTAATTGTGTTCATATGTGGTGAATTAATGGTTGGTTGTGATCGCTCAATGGTGATCATAGGTGCTTGTTGAAATGCAACATGAATTGATGGAACCGTGGCCTTTTTGTCGTAAGTATGGCGAATTGTGTTGTGGTCGTTTGTAAATGGTTGTGTGATATTTGATTATGTGAAAGACGTGAAAATTAATTGAATTATGTGGCGTGTGTGTTTGGTTGAAAAGCCCGGATCGATCGGAGGGCTGCCAACCTGTGGGGTGTTGACCCGGATTGTGAGAAAGGACCTGTGGGGTGTTGACCCGGGTCGTGAGAAAGGTCCTGTGGCGTGTTTGACGCTGGACAGAACCCAGATTGATCGGAGGGCTGACCTGAGGCGTGTTTACGTGGGTCGTGAAAAAATGAGAAAGGACCTGAGGCGTGTTTACGCGGGTCGTGAGAAAGTGAGAAAGGACTTGTAGGGTGTTGACTCGGATCGTGAGAAAGGTCCTGGGGCGTGTTGACACGGGACAAAGCCCGTATTGATCGGAAGGCTGCCAGCCTGGAGTGTGTTGACGCGGGTGGCGAGAAAGGACCTATGGGGTGTTGACTCGGGTCGTGATAAAGTTGAATGGATGTGCATGTGTGATGTACTTGATGGAATTGGGTGAACGTACGTGTGTATTGTGACATTCTGAAATCCGACCCACTTGAGATTTATGAAATGGATGGTTTTATGAACGTACTTGTAGTTAGATCTCGCCCGGAACTGATCATTCCTGGGATACTAACCGTTAGGGAAAGGCTAATTAGGGATTTAAATTCGCGCGACTAAAGAAACTCGATCGTGAACCGACTTTCGACCATGAAAATTGGCGAGGTGACATTTTGAGCCAATGAAGGCCGATCCAAGGATAGTTAGGGATCAGTTCGCCGCTGTCATGTTAGTGGATCTCGGGTGATTACGCTTGACCACGAAATGAATTGACAAATGATCCCGAACCTATACCAAACGATCGCGCCCGTCGGAATTAGTGATCGATCCTCGCGATTAAGTAAAATTCTAGGTCATCACGACCCGAGTGAACTTGAACGTGGCATGATTCAGTATCAGCCACGGGTCAAAAGTGTGAATTTACCCAAAAGCCACCCGTTAGTCTGAGATACGCTCAAGTTACGTTATTTAGAATTTAGTCATTAATTAGAGACCAAGTTGGACATTGGAAATTTAGAAAGTCACGATAGAACGTTTGGACGACGTTGTTATTGGCATGATCAGCTTTAGAATTGTCAGAATCCTTCAGAAAAATCGAATTTCGGCGAGAAATGAAAAATGACCATTTTACCCCTGGAAGTTTGTTAAGGCCAAGTGTAATTGGGGAAGGGCATTTTGGTCATTTCGCCCTAGTATTACAAATAGAAATTTTTGGACAATTTTGCCCTTGGACTTTTTGTGAAATCACCAAATTACCCTTGGATATTTTGGAAAAGATTCGATCTCGGCTGTTGATCCCAAGATAAGATCGAATCTCGGCCGTTGATTTGGAATGTGAGAGAGGGGCATGATGGTCATTTGGATTTGGTCTAGACACCAATAATTGACCTTGGACTATTTAGTCCAAACTCTTTCTCTCTCTCCTCACTCTCTCCCTCTCTCTCTTGGCAAAACCCCCCCACCGACCGACCGCCTCCCACCCTTGGCCGTACTGCCGCCGTGCCGGCCACCGTTCGTTCGTTCGTTGCCGCCCGTCCGGTCACTGAGCCGTGCCCTCGCCACCCTCTCATCGCCGTCTCTCTCTCTCTCTTTTCCGTGGCCGTGAGCAGCAGACTGAGCAAGCCAGCCGTCCGCCCGCCTGGCCGGAGCAGTCGTTCGCCGGAGCAGCCGTTCGCTGGAGCCGCCACTCGCTTCCCACCACCGCTCACTTCCCACCACCGCTCACCTCACCGTCTCTCTCTCTCTTGCTTGTCCCCACCGAATCACCATCATCTTCATCCTGTCCTGTTCAGCCGCCGTCCAGTCAGCCGCTTGCCGTCGCCGTACGCCGCCGCCGAGCCGCTCGCCGTTGCCGCTCATCACCGCGTGGCCACCGATCAGCCGCCCTTTTCACTCTAGCCGAGCTAGCCTAGAGTTCATGTAAGTCGCCCCCTAAACCATTACGCGGTACCATTACACGGGCAAGATACATGGCCTAAGGCGGTACCACTACGCGGGCCAAGAAGTGTTGTGGATACGAGTTGGTCGCAGTGAACCTGAGGCGGTACTATTACGCAGGTCACTGGCGAGTCGAGTGGAAATTATGAGATGGTCGCAGTGAACCTAAGGCGGTACCATTACGCGGGTCACTGGCGAGATGAGTGAAAATAAGTGTGATAAGGCAAGAACGAGGGTGTGAAATGCGTTTGAAATGTGCATGCGGTTGGAAATTATATTATTGTAGCTAACGTGCAGGTTGCACGCATGAAAAGCCCAGGTAAGTACACTTGTGTGCTTGTGATGTGCTTATTGAGTGTTATGATGTTTGGTCTTGTCTGGAGGTACGTGATAGCCTAGGTGGGGTTTAGGGTGTGTGCTTATTGAGATGTGATCTCATGGTTATTTCAACCAATAATTTCATAAACCCGGCCTGAGCAATGAATCTTCCACCGCCACTGCCTGAGCGTTTTGGAGTACCGATGCACACCGACCATAATATTGTAGAATACCCAATAGACGATAACATGACCTGGATTAAGCACACGACAGTAGTCTAGGTAGACATAGTGCAACCCCCTTGGCAGGCCCATACATATACCGCCTGGTAATTCAGGGATGGACTGGATGAATTTGGCCCCGTCCGAGGCTTCGATGTTCCTTTTGATGGAGTAGGGGACTGGGATCCGTCTGCCATACCCCCTCCCGATGGCGAGCTGACTACCTTAGACACTAGTTTCGCGCAGTCAGGGCACCAGCATGTTCCTTCAGCGCCCGAGTCTACCGTGGCGGAGCCGGAGGAGTCGCAAGCAAGGTATGACCCTATGGATGTGGATCTCGAGGTAATTCTAGAGGAGGAAGAAGAAGAAGAAGACCCTGAGGACGAACCCGAAGAGGAGCCCGAAGAAGACCCAGAGATGGGATTAGAGGACGTACCCGAGGACGAGCCAGAGTTTTAGCCAGAAGACGAGCCGGAAGAGGAGTTTGACGAGGAAGAGCGGGTTGAGGCACCGGTAGAGTCGGGTGACATAGACAACCCGATTGAGATTAAGGCGGATTCGGAGTCTTCCGAGGAGCCAGATTATGATAGGGTTTCAGACCTAGATTCCGGGGAGACGAAATTGGAGTGGATGCCGTCTAGCGGGCGTCGGGGCTAGTTTTAGGGGTATAGTAACTCTTTTGGAGTGTCCCATTTTTGGAGATAGGGTATACCCAGGCTACTGATCATTTTTTATATCGGTGGTATATAGTTTCGAAGTTTGGTGTGCATGTAAATTACGTGGATTGTATATGGTGGATAATGTATAAGTTTGAATCAGTAATGGTTGTATATTCTCCTTTTACCCCTGGTTATTATTGTCTGGGTGTTTGTGGCTTTCGCTGGTGCGTTATATCTCTGATGTGTTGATTTGGGTCGGCGACTCTTCCTGGGACGTCGCACTTTTTCGACCGAAGAGGGATGCCACGAGCTCGATGGGGTTCAGGGCGTGACATCACCGTCTGATTTGGTATCAGAGCGAGGACAGCTCGATCTAAGTTGGTCGAAGTCTGGAGTGATAAGGAGCAGAGACCCTGGGGTAGTAATTTAGGGAGACCTTAGCGAGTCATAGGGTGGAATGAGCTACGCGTGCCTCCAGATTGTTTGTTGTGATGGTTGGGTGAATTGGTTGATATAACGATTGAAATGCAGGTGCGTCTGGACCTGAGGTAAGTGCACAGACCTTATTGATTGTGGCCTAGTGCTGTTGTGGTTGATTACTTGTTGAGTGAATTATTGTATTAATTCGCTGTCTAAGACTAGACTAGTACAGTTGGCCTAGGTTTCTAATTCCTGAGTGGAATTATAGCAAGTAGGCGAGTGGTAGAAATCGAGAGGATGAGTTCGCGAGGTAGAGGAACTGGGGGTGCATCCAGCTCACGAGCTCGACCTCCAGGAGATCCGAGAATGGATGCGATCATGAGGATCCTAGAAGAGATTGGTAATTTGATAGGACGGCAGACCCAGGAAAGGGCTGCCACTATTGCCCAAGCTGCCGAGGCCGCTGTGGCCGCTTCTATCAATAATAACAATGGGAATCAAGGACAGGGGTAGGTGAATGTGAATAGGCAGATGCACCAATTAGTTGAACAGTTTTTGAAGTTAAAGCCTCCTAAGTTTGATGGTAGAGGCGATCTTGAAGCTGCATCGCTTTGGGTAGAGGAGTTGGAAAAAACCTTTGAGGTATTAGGATGCTCTGAGGAAGAGAAAGTGACTTTGGCAGTGTACCAACTCCAAGGAAATGCAAGTGATTGGTGGAAAGCCACCAGAGGAAGGGTGTTCCTGGCTAGTACTGCCCAGACTTGGGCGATGTTTGTGGAAACCTTTAACGGTAAATATTTTTCTGAGAGTGCCCGGGAACAGAAATTATCTGAATTTATGAGGCTTCGTCAGGGGCAGAGGACAGTGGATCAGTACGAGGCTGAATTCGCTCGGTTATCTAAGTTTGCACCGAAGACGGTCGAGGACCCGTTGGATAGGGCTTAAAGGTTCCGAGACGGCTTGAAACCGGACCTTCGCAGCCAAATGATTTCGTTAAATTTAAGAGAGTATAACGAGATTTATGATAGGGCTCAAGCGATTGAGCGGGACTTGGTGGATAGGGCCGCCGCTTCTGGGTCAAGATTTGCCCAGGGAAGGAACAACCGTCAATTAGGAAAGAGGCCAATGACGGGTAATTGAAGTTTTGTGCCTCCTGCTAGAAGGAATATAGGGAAACCGGCCCGTTTTCAGAATGGTCCATGTAGGGTATGTGGGGAGAGATATGGAAATGGACCTTGTCTAATCAGGGGCGGAGCATGTTTCGGATGTGGCGGATTTAGTCATCATATAAGGTTTTGCCCCAACCTCAGGCAGAATAGATCGCCTGTGTTGCCGCCACCTCGGAATGGGAACCAAACTGGAGCTGCTCAGACAGCTAATCATAATAGGCCGCAGGCCCAAGGACGGGTGTACGCTATGGCCAGAAGAGAGATTGAGAACGCGCCAGGTGTTGTCACAGGTACGATTTCTCTGTGCGATCATGCTGCGTACGCTTTATTTGACCCTGGGGCGTCATATTCATTTATATCTGAGCAATTTGTTGAGTTGACTGGTATAGAACCGCAGTTGCTTGATGTTGTGTTGTGTGTTACAACTCCCTTGAATGATAAGATGCTAGTCTCGTTGTGGTGCCCGAATTGTAAGATTGTGATTGGTGATAGGGAGGAAAGGATTGATTTAGCGGTTCTAGCCATGTATGATTTTGATGTGATAGTGGGTATGGATTGGCTGGCTAAGCAGAGGGCCGTAATGGATTGTAGTAATAGGGTGATCCAATTTAATCCTGTTGGACATCCGGAATTCAAATTTGTGGGAAATCGAGGGGGAACATCGATCCCATGGATTTCGTCGCTAGAAATGACTAAGTTGTTGAACGAAGGGTGTCAAGGATTTCTAGCGGCTGTAGTTGATTCGACGGTTGAGGAGCCGAGGCTAGAGGACATAGCCGTGGTGTGCGATTATCCCGATGTCTTTCCTCAGGAATTACCGGGATTGCCACCAGAAAGAGAAGTAGAATTTATAATCGAGTTGGCCCCTGGAACTAAGCCAATCTCGAAGGCACCTTATAGAATGTCGTTGTCGGAGTTAAAGGAGTTAAAGGTGCAAATGCAAGAATTATTGGACAAGGGTTTCATTCGTCCAAGTGCGTCTCCATGGGGAGCGCCAGTCTTATTTGTGAGGAAGAAAGATGGATCATTGAGGTTATGTATTGATTACAAGCAGCTAAATCAGGTGACGATAAAAAATAAATATCCCCTGCCAAGGATAGATGATTTGTTTGATCAGTTACGAGGGGCTTCGGTGTTTTCTAAAATTGATTTGAGAACGGGATATCATCAATTAAGAATTAGGAAAGAGGATATGTCACGCCCCAAACCCCATCGAGCCCGTGACTTTCCTCTACCTCGGTCGAATCAGTGCGACGTCCCAGGAACACGTCGCCGACCCAAAGTTCCCATCAGAGTTGATTCGCGGCGGAAACAATTATAAAATCCCAGACAATAAAATTGGAGACTACCAGGAATAACTAGATCGCCGAACCGCCAACATATATATATACATTACACTTCCAAAGATTTACAATATCCATTATTATTTACAAGCACACCGAACCAGTAACTATTAACTTCCAAAATACAAAAAGGATCAGCATCCTAGATCAGCATTATCCAAAAATGGGGCACTCTCAAACTATTGCTTCGCTCCCAGAACTAGTCCCTACGCCCTCTCGGAGGTGTCCACTCTGACTCACTGTCCTCGGCATCACCACCGAATCCTCCTCACCTCTGTTCACCCAACGGCTCCAAGTCGGCCTCAATATGTTCATGGCTCGGCGGAGGCTCGAAATGGTTTTGGTTGATACAACCATGAGACACTTCTCAATAAGTTGCAACCTAAACCCTACCTAGGCTACCACGTTATTCCAAACACTTATAGACACACGACCAATCAATTCACCCATCATCATCCACAAAATTAAACATACCTGGACTCACGGCACACGCAACCTGCACATTAGTCCACACTCACAAACAATCAATTTTCACACACATGCCACAACACACGACTATCAGCATATCAATGTACACATCGATCATGCGACGTTTCCAACCCACTCATCGTACCCACATTTCCTCAACCATTTTCCCGGCCCGCGTAAACACTCCTCGGCCCACTCGATCGCGCCCCAAGCATCACACGCCTCGGTCCGATCCCACTTTCACACTTTCCACATCACATGCCTCATTCTCAATCGCTTTCTCGGCCCGCGTCAACACGCCTCGGCCCACTCGATCGCGCCCCGAGCATCACACGCCTCGGTTCGATCCCACTTTCACACTTTCCTCAGCCCACGCCAAATGCGACAGGCCTACGTGATCGCGACCCGAGTTTTAGAATGTCTCGGCCCGATCCCAATCTCACTCGAGCTGATCGTGCCTCGAGTCGATCTCATTTTCCATATTCTCATTCCTCAGCCAGCGCCAAATGCGACTGACCTACATGATCGCGACCCGAGCTTATAATGCCTCGGTCCGATCCCGTTCTCACATTTTCACACATTCGTATGAATTTCTGTGCGCACAATTGCACCCAACATCATAGTCACACCACAAACACGCAATCACGCACAAATTTGCATTTTTCCACACCCAAACGTTTTCAAATCAATTTCAGTCCTTCACGGGACTTTCACAAAATTTCGAGACGGACCTAACGGTACCAGCCTCGCACCAAACAGCAACCCACAGCACATCACACGGCACATCACAGCCAGCAAACAGTCTTTTCCGCACCCAAAATCACAATATCACACTTCCGGTTCTTCACGACACTTGCATAGAATTCCGAGCCGGACCTAACGGTACAAACCGCATCCCGAACAGCACCACACAGCATACTGAACAAGCAATCACAGCATTGATTGGCCTCTAAAATTTCCGTCAAAACTCCCCGAATTCATTCCTAGGCCCCGCAAATCAACTTCGCTCGTAAAACCATAACAAACCGTGTCTAATTCGGCCCAAAGCAACCCGATATACTAGATAAAGTTTAGGCCGCGACTTACCGAGCTCTAAACTATCATGGTTAGAGCGAAGGCGGTGGCAAAACCCGAGATCTAACGGCGGCTTGCGGTGGTGGTGGTGTACGGCAAGCGACGGCGACGGCGGCTCACGGCCAAAGGAGGGAGCTCACGGGAGGGAGAGAAATCGGGAAGGAGAGAGGGAGTCCACGGTGGGGGGGGGAATTGCCGTGAGAGAGAGGAAATGAGGGGAGAGAGAGAATGGTCTAGACTTAAATAGTAAAATTTGACCAACTTTGGCTAACAAATCCATCCGACGGTCCAGATTCGATCTTATCTTGAAACCGACGGCCGAGATCGCATCTTGCCCCAAAATATCCAAGGGCAATTTGGGAATTTCATAAAAATTCAAGGGCAAAAATGTCCAATCAAAAGTTAGGGCAAAATTACCAAAATGCCTTTCTACCATAAAGCATGCCCTTTATTAATTCTTAGGGGTAAAATGGTCACTTTCCTCATTTCTCATCAAAATTGAATTTTTCTGAAGGAATCGGGACAATAAAAAATTACACGTTCCAACCGCAACGTTGTCCTAACGTCCCGTTGTGACTTCCGAATTTTCCGGTGTCCGATTTGAGCTAAACTAAATAATTAAATTTTATTAAACGCAACTCGAGTGTTTCTCAAACTAACGGGCGGCTTTTTGGGGAAATTCTCATATTCGACCTGTGACCGATAATAAATTGAGTCACGTGCAAATTTATTCAGGTCATGACGACTTCGGTTGTCATTTAAATCGCGAGGATCAATCACTAGATCCGAGGGGCACGATCGTTCGGTATAGGTTCAGGATCATTCGTCAATTCATTTCGTGGTCCAGCGGAATCACCCGTAATCCACTACTATGACAGTGGCGAACTGGCCCCCAACTATCCTTGGATCGGCCTACAATGGCTCAAAATGTCACCTCGGCGATTTTATGGTCGAAATTCAATTCACGAGCGAATTTTTACTTAGTCGTATGAATTTTAAATCCCCAGTTAGCCTTTCCCTAATGGTTAGTATCCCAGGAATAATCAGTTCCGGGTGAGAACTAACTACAAGTACATTCATAAAACTCAGTATTTCATAAATCCTAAATGGACCAATTTTCAGGATGTCACAGGATATACCGAAAACGGCATTTAGAACGAGATATGGACATTATGAATTTACGGTAATGCCGTTCGGATTGACGAACACCCCTGCTGCCTTTATGGATTTAATGAATCGGGTGTTTAAGGAGTTTTTAGATCAATTTGTGATTGTTTTCATAGACGACATATTGGTGTACTCGAAAAGCCTAGAGGAGCATGGGTTTCATTTGAGTAAAGTTTTGCAGACCTTAAGAGAGAACACACTGTATGCTAAGTTTAGCAAGTGCGAGTTCTGGCTCAATCGAGTAGCATTTCTTGGACACGTGATATCTGGGGAAGGAATCTTAGTAGATCCAACGAAGATTGAAGTGGTAATGAAGTGGTTGAGACTGATGACGGTAACAGAGGTTCGAAGCTTTCTGGGTTTGGCTGGATATTACCGACGTTTCGTGGAAGGGTTTTCAGCAATAGCAACACCGTTGACACATTTGTTGAAAAAGAAAACAAGGTTTGAGTGGACCGACAAATGTGAAAGGAGTTTTAAGGAATTAAAACATAGATTGACGATGGCACCGGTGTTGACTATTCCATCAGGACCCGGAGGATATGAAATTTATAGCGATGCGTCATTGAAAGGACTAGGGTGTGTACTCATGCAAAATGGACAAGTAGTGGCCTATGCATCAAGGCAGTTAAGACCGCATGAACTGAACTATCCGACGCATGATTTGGAGTTAGCCGCTATAGTATTTGCCCTCAAGATTTGGCGACATTATTTATACGGAGAGAAATTTCAAATATATACAGATCATCAAAGCCTTAAATATCTATTTTCTCAAAAGGAGTTAAATATGAGACAGCGTCCGTGGATGAAATTACTTAAGGATTACGATTGTGATATTTTATATCACCCCGGGAAGGCCAACCGGGTAGCCGATGCATTGAGTCGGAAGTCAAGCATCGCACATTTGATGGTCAAAGAATGGACTTTATGAAGGAGTGTGAGACTCAGAGTTTAGATTTGAAGTAAGTCAAGTCTCGAGTTTGCTAGCCACGCTAAGGATTGAACCAGAGATCCAGGCTAAGATTAGGACTTTGCAGTCTACGGATCAAGAAATTCAAAAGATTCTGGAAATGGATGCTACCAAGAGAAAGCCGGACTTTCAAATATCCGAAGATGGGTATTGAAGTTCCGTGGACGATTATGCATGCTTGACGAGGCGGAACTTAAGGAAGAAGCGCATCATAGTAGTTATAGCATCTATCCAAGTAGTACCAAAATGTATCAAAATTTAAGGCAGTACTATTGGTGGAATGGCATGAAGGTGGACATAGCTAGACATGTGGCCAAGTGTCTGACGTGCCAGCAAGTAAAAGCGCAACATTGTAAGACCAGAGGATTATTGCAACCTTTGGAAATCCCAGAATGGAAATGGGAACATATAACTATGGATTTTGTGACAGGATTACCAAGGAGCCAAAGAGGCCATGATACCATTTGGGTGATTGTCGATAGATTGACAAAGTCAGCACACTTCTTGGCCGCGAGAAAGGACTTTGTATTAGATCGGTATGCTGAGTTGTACATACAACAAATAGTTCGTTTGCACGGGGTACCAGTGTCGATCACTTCCGATCGTGATCCTAGGTTTATCGCCAATTTTTGGAAAAGTCTGCAGATGGCATTAGGATCAAAGCTGCAATTTAGTACAGCTTACCATCCACAAACGGATGGCCAGTCTGAGAGGACGATTCAGACTTTAGAGGATATGCTTAGGGCATGTGTATGGGATTTTCAAGGAAAGTGGGAAGAGCAATTGCCCTTAGCAGAATTTGTGTATAATAATAGTTTTCAGCAGAGCATCGGAATGGCGCCCTTTGAAGCGCTATATGGCAGGGCTTAGAGAACGCCCGTGTGTTGGGACGAAGTGGGAGAAAGGAGTATTACCGGGCCATAATTAGTTCAACAGTCAGTTGAGGCTGTTAAGGTAATCCGTGAGAGGCTGAAAACAGCTCAAAGCCGTCAAAAGAGTTATGCAGATAGAAGGCGAAGACCTTTGGAGTTTCAAGTAGGGGATCACGTATTTCTTAAGGTATATCCCACGAGAGGACTGTCCAGATTTGGTAAGAAAGGGAAGTTGAGTCCGAGGTACGTGGGACCCTTTGAAGTTTTAGAAAGGATTGGAGATTTAGCTTATCGCCTTGCACTTCCACCAAATTTGTCGCAAGAGTATAATGTGTTCCACGTATCGATGTTGAGAAAATTATGAACCGGACCCAACTCACGTGTTGAATTACGAAGAGATAGAAGTTGACGACAGGGTGTCGTATGTCGAGAGACCAATAAGGATCGAAGATCGGAAAGAACGAGTTTTAAGGAACAAGACGATCCCGATGGTCAAGGTTGTTTGGGAACATCACGGGACAGAAGGAGCGACGTGGGAGAGTGAAGAGCAAATGCAACGTCAATACCCCCACTTGTTTGAGTAGCTAGGTTGATTTGTAAATTTCGAGGACGAAATTTTTTATGAGGGGGGAAGAGTTGTGACATTTTGAAATCCGACCCACTTGGGATTTATGAAATTGATGGTTTTATGAACGTACTTGTAGTTAGATCTCGCCCGGAACTAATCATTCCTGGGATACTAACCGTTAGGGAAAGGCTAATTAGGGATTTAAATTCGCGCGACTAAAGAAACTCGATCGTGAACCGACTTTCGACCATGAAAATTGGCGATGTGACATTTTGAGCCAATGAAGGCCGATCCAAGGATAGTTAGGAATCAGTTCGCCGCTATCATGTTAGTGGATCGTGGGTGATTACGCTTGACCACGAAATGAATTGACGAATGATCCCGAACCTATACCAAACGATCGCGCCCGTCGGAACTAGTGATCGATCCTCGCGATTAAGTGACAGCCGAGGTCGTCACGACCCGAGTGAACTTGAATGTGGCATGATTCAGTATCAGCCACGGGTCAAAAGTGCGAATTTACCCAAAAGCCACCCGTTAGTCTGAGATACGCTCAAGTTACGTTATTTAGAATTTAGTCATTAATTAGAGACCAAGTTGGGCATTGAAAATTTAGAAAGTCACGATAGAACGTTTGGATGACGTTGTTATTGGCATGATCAGCTTTAGAATTGTCCGAATCCTTCAAAAAAATAGAATTTCGGTGAGAAATGGAAAATGACCATTTTACCCCTGGAAGTTTGTTAAGGCCAAGTGTAATTGGGGAATGGCATTTTGATCATTTCGCCCTAGCATTAAAAATAGAAATTTTCGGACAATTTTGCCCTTGGACTTTTTGTGAAATCCCCAAATTACCCTTGGATATTTTGGAAAAGATTCGATCTCGGCCGTTGATCCCAATATAAGATCGAATCTCGGCCGTTGATTTGGAATGTGAGAGAGGGGTATGATGGTCATTTGGATTTGGTCTAGACACCAATAATTGACCTTGAACTATTTAGTCCAAACTCTTTCTCTCTCTCCTCACTTTCTCCCTCTCTCTCTCGGCAAAACCCCCCCACCGACCGACCGCCTCCCCCCTTGGCTGTACCGCCACCGTGCCGGCCACCGTTCGCTCGTTGCCACCCGTCCGGTCACCGAGCCGTGCCCTCGCCACCCTCTCATCGCCGTCTCTCTCTCTCCTTTCCGTGGCCGTGAGCAGCCGGCTGAGCAAGCCAGCCGTCCGCCCGCCTGGCCGGAGCAGCCGCTCGCCGAAGCCGCCGCTCGCTTCCCACCGCCGCTCACCTCACCGTCTCTCTCTCTCTTGCTTGTCCCCACCGAATCACCATCATCTTCATCCTGTCCTGTTCAGCCGCCGTCCAGTCAGCCGCTTGCCGTCGCTCTATGCCGCCGCCGAGCCGCTCGCCGTCGCCGCTCGTCGCCGCGTCGCCACCGATCAGCCGCCCTTTTCACTCTAGCCGAGTTAGCCTAGAGTTCATGTAAGTCGCCCCCTAAATCCTATTTAAGATGTCGAGTATCGATAGACTTGATTAGGGGCTAAATCGGGTTAATTAGGGGTCGTTTAGAGGTTATTTAGGGACTGTTTAGGGGTTAACTTGGCGGACTGATTTGGGGATTGATATTGGCTGATTTGAGGATGAAATGGTGATGTTTCGGGGCTGAATTGAGGCCGAGTTGAGTGCTGGACGTTGTGGATTGAATTGACGAACTTAGGGCTCGATTTAAGGACAAATGGTGTCGGTTTGAGGTGTGGTAGTGTGGCTGGATTGCGGTGTTTAATATGGCTTGAAATGGGCTTGGAAATGCTGAAATTATGCTATGATTATGGCTGTGATTGTGGGCCCGTTAGTGGCCTTGTATGTTTGTTGAATCGTGAGTTGCTTGATTTAAATGTGGGTCGTTATGTGCACGCATGGGCTGAATTGAATCGATTGTCAATTGGCCGTGTTTGGGTGTTTATTAAGCATGAGAAATGTATATGGTTTGGTGCGTGCATGGGCCAAGTGTGATTGGCTAGTACATTGGCATGTTGGTGTCGAGCAAGTGAATGAGTGAAAAATTATGTGGTGGTGCTGTATGTGTGGTGACAAAAATCCCTGAGGCGGTACCATTACGCGGGGAATTGATCCGTCCTGAGGCGGTACCATTACGCGGGTTGTGTCGTAGGTGGTGGATTTTGAGCCTGAGGCGGTACCATTACGCGGGCAAGATACATGGCCTGAGGCGGTACCACTACGCGGGCCAAGAAGTGTTGTGGATACGAGTTGGTCGCAGTGAACCTGAGGCGGTACTATTACGCGGGTCACTGGCGAGTCAAGTGGAAATTATGAGATGGTCGCAGTGAACCTGAGGCGGTACCATTACGAGGGTCACTGGCGAGATGAGTGAAAATAAGTGTGATGAGGCAAAACCGAGGGTGTGAAATGCGTTTGAAATGTCATGTGGTTGGAAATTATATTATTGTGGCTAACGTGTAGGTTGCACGCATGAAAAGCCCAGGTAAGTACACTTGTGTGCTTGTGATATGTTTATTGAGTGTTATGATGTTTGGTCTTGTCTGGAGGTACGTGATAGCCTAGGTAGGGTTTAGGGTGTGTGCTTATTGAGATGTGATCTCATGGTTGTTTCAACCAACGATTTCAGAACCCCGGCCTGAGCAATGAATCTTCCACCGCCACCGCCTGAGCGTTTTGGAGTATCGATGCACACCGACCATAATGTTGTAGAATACCTGATAGATGATAACATGACCTGGATTAAGCACACGACAGTAGTCTGGGTAGACATAGGGCAACCCCCTTGGCAGGCCCATACATATATCGCCTGATTTTTCAGGGATGGGCTGGATGAATTTGGCCCCGTCCGAGGCTTCGATGTTCCTTTTGATGGAGTGGGGGACTGGGATCCGTCTGCCATACCTCCTCCCGATGGCGAGCTGACTAGCTTAGACACTAGTCTGGCGCTGTCAAGGCACCAGCATGTTCCTTCAACGCCCGAGTCTACCGTGGCGGAGCCGGAGGAGTCGCAAGCAGGGTATGACCCTATGGATGTGGATCTCAAGGTAATTCCAAAGGAGGAAGAAGAAGAAGAAGACCCTAAGGACGAACCCGAAGAGGAGCCCGAAGAAGACCCAGAGATGGGATTAGAGGACGTACCCGAGGACGAGCCAGAGTATGAGCCAGAAGACGAGCCGGAAGAGGAGTTTGACGAGGAAGAGCGGGTTGAGGCACCGGTAGAGTCGGGTGACATAGACAACCCGATTGAGATTGAGGCGGATTCGGAGTCTTCCGAGGAGCCAGATTATGATAGGGTTTCAGACCTAGATTCCGGGGAGATGGAATTGGAGTGGACGCCGTCTAGCGGGCGTCGGGGCTAGTTTTAGGGGTATAGTAACTCTTTTGGAGTGTCCCATTTTTGGAGATAGGGTATACCCAGGCTACTGATCATTTTTTATATCGGTAGTATATAGTTTCGAAGTTTGGTGTGCATGTAAATTACGTGGATTGTATATGGTGGATAATGTATAAGTTTGAATCAGTAATGGTTGTATATTCTCCTTTTACCCCTGGTTATTATTGTCTGGGTGTTTGTGGCTTTCGCTGGTGCGTTATATCTCTGATGTGTTGATCTGGGTCGGCGACTCTTCCTGGGACGTCGCACTTTTTCGACCGAAGAGGGATGCCACGAGCTCGATGGGGTTCGGGGCGTGACATGTATGGTGCTCGAGTGATTGTGATATGTACATGAGATGTTATTGCATTAATGTGAATTGACTAATATGCAGAGTTGGCGTGTGCTGTGAGGTGAGGTAAGTACATTTATGTAATTCCCTGATATCATTGTTAGATTGCATGTTGAGACTTGTCTAGGTATGCATTGGCTTAGGTGGGGTTTAGGTTGTCTACTTATTGAGATTTATTCTCATTGCTGTAGTACAAACAATTTCAGATCCGCAACCATGATTGATTTGGAGACGCCGCCAGAGTACCTCAGGGACCGAGGATGGGTCAAGTTACCCCATCTTTTGAGTGCCTCCTTTTGTAGAGGAGTTAGGCTCACCAACCACCGCCCCCTTTTGATGAATGTGGTTTGAAGTGAGTGGCCTAGGTTGTTATTGTGTATTTATGAATGCTGTAAGTTATACCATGCAATGGAAATGCATTTATTGGTTTGTGTAAGTACTACCCCTTCTTCAACATTTACTGTCTGGGTTGTTTAAGATTTTCGCTTCCGCTTGCGTATGTCTTCGCGTGTGTCATTTGGGTCGGCGACGCGTCCTGGGACGTCACGTTTAATACGACTTTTGAGGGCTATCGCGAGCCCGTTAGGGTCCGGGGCATGATAGCGGCCCTCGCCGCCGCCCTCACCGGTCGCGACGGCGAGCTCGGCCTTGCGACCTAGGCGACAGCGAGGTCGGCCTCGCCTTGGCTGGGCGAGGCCTTGCCGTTGGGGCTGCGAGCCGCCCTCGCCGGCCTTGGCCTGTGGCCGGTCGTCGGTGGCTGGTTGTTGGTGGCTGGCGGCAGGCAAAGAACAACAAACCAAGAGGAAGAAGAAAACCAAGAAGAATCAGAAATGAAAAAAATTGTTCCCAGAATCAAGAAGCTATTTTTTTTTGCTTCTTGATTCTGTTCCAAAACTGATTCTACGAACAATTTTTTGCAAATTTGTACCCGGGCACAAAAATTTTAACAAACGGATTTCTGTTCCCAAACTGATTATGGGAATAAAAGAACAAATTTTTTCACTATTTAGCAACTTGCCAAACGGCCCTTACAAACAGTGAAAATGAATCGTGGAAGAAGTCCTATCTACTGTCCCTTTCGGCTTGAGAAAAGGGTCTTTCCACTATTGTAGTATATGATGTGACCATTGGCTACAAGTACCGTTGTCTATCTTTTTGTTGAAGTATTGTCCTAGATTGTTTGACAAATGAGTCTTATATGCTTTTTATATACACGTGTCTCTCTCCATCTAATAGCTTAAGCTTTTGGGTTTGATTTCTTACACTTTCCTGGACAATGTGTTTGATCCACACTTATTGGCTGATGGACACATTCTGCTTCAAGGACCAGTTGCTCTTGCACTTCCACTGTAAGGCCATTTCCCTGATCCAGGAACAGAACCGAAGTTCTCATAAAGTGCCTTTTGAATGCTATCAGAGTTATCTTCTTGACATGCACATTAAATATCTCACATTTTTCTCATCCATCTCGTTTAAAGTGTATGTTTCTTCCGTTTGTGCATATCTGGCATCTGCAACCAATTTTAACATTTGGCCACGGCCAATTGCTGGCTCTGGCAAAGCTGTCATTACTTAGTGCCAAGCATTAATTAAGAACAATCCAGAATCCGCAATTTCTTCTTCCATTATTTCTCGTCAACAGTGCTGAAATTTGTCTTACTCTATATGCTTCAGTCTATAGATGTCTATTTTTACCAAGTAGTTTTATTGAGGAATACTCTGAATGAGGAGTATATGCAGGATCCTTTTTGTTCTCATGGATGATTCGTTGTGCTGAGTTTCTGCAGTCTGGTCTTTCATTCGGTTAATGCAGCTTTCATCTGTTGTCAGACTTGGAACAGACATTTCTCATGAACATAATGATTTCTACACACAATTCAACAAGAAGTTAACTATTCTGTCGTAGCTCAGAATTTCTGCTTTTGGCAAGAACCTGGCCATTTTTTTCAACGGTTCAGTTTTGTATTAGTCATTTGAACTTGTTTGATCAACTTATGGAACTAGACATAAGAGCAACAAAAGCAAGGGCTTATTACTTAAACTTCGAATATTAAGAACTTTCCATCCTACCCTACAGTTCCAATTGTTCATCGAACCTGTAGAGGTCCATCTGTTTATCAGTGTAACAAGGGACGTTTTATCATAGGTTTCGACATAACGTCCACGTGATCGCAGTAATGTGACTTAGTTAGGCTCGTGGATTTATAATCTCAGCTCCAAATTTAAAATTAACAAGGAAGCATCCTTGTAAATGTCATCCTGGAAGGTTGTCACGAGAAGGTACATGTCAATCATTGTAAGAGTGACCACCTTTAACTATCATATTGTTGATCTTTAGAATCATAAAGAGAGTAGCGACATAGTTACAGAGAGTGGAGAAAAATGGTTTATGGTGAGTTTACCTTAATTAGGGTTGCCTGAACAACAATTAATTACAGTTAGGGTACAATTAGAATAAAATTCTGTAATACATATCAATTACATATTAATATCTCCTCAATCCGAAATAGGTGTAACAACTTAGGGATTGGATCTCAATAGCATGTGTTGCACATTAGGCAGTCCCTTATTGAATATGTCTGCTAGTTGATCTGCTATGGCACGTAGTGAACATGTAGATTGGCGAATGCAATCTACTCTCGAACAAAGTGAAAGTCTAGCTTGATGTGTTCAGTATGAGCATGAAACATGGAGTTGAGAGCAAGGTAGCTGGCAAAGATTTCCCAATATATGGCAAGAGAATCAAAAAGGGATCCCGAGCTTACGAAGTAATTGGCGAATACAAATAATTTTAGCAACACAGTGAGCTACAACATTGTTAGTAGACAACAAAGTCCTTAAGGCCAAGGGAGTAGACACGTGCTTGACCTTAATGAGGTCAAATGTGCATAAAAATGCGTCAACATACTTTGCTAGAGATAAAAGGGTACCATCAGTGCAGTGATGCGCCTCAATGCCAAGAAAATAGTGAACTGGTCCCAAATCCCTAGCAAATTCCTTTAAGAGTCGTGTAACCAAAGACCGTGACAATGATACATATGGTAGATTATATAGACAACCCCAAGAGGAAGCATTGATGAATAGTGAAGGATCAACCTTACTCGTAGTGAAGCACAGAGATAATAAAAGTGATGAAAGCATGCATGTGTATCCTATTTTAAACCATAAAAAACTTTCCGTAGATGGCACACGTGATTCGAGAACTCAAGATAAGAGTAACCTAGAGGTTAGTGCATGTAAATTTCCTCATGAGGGATTGAGTGTGGCAAAAAGGCAATTTTGATGTCAAATTGATGTATGGACCATCCTAATGAAATCATAATAAAGAGAACAGCCCGAATTGTAGTAGGTTTAACGACCGGGTCAAAGGTCTTGTTATAGTCTAGTCCCGCCAACTGCTTAAATGCCCATGAAACATGATGAGCTTTGAAGTGGTACAAGATCCCACATATGGTTGGTGACCAGGTGTTAAAATACATCTGTGATAACTACTTTCCAATGTTGTTCAAGAATGGCCTAAGAATAGCAACTCGATGTCTCTTCGTGAAAAGAGTGAGAGAGATAAAGAATAAATATGATTTAGAAATTGCAGATTTGGCATGAGTTTGCAAAGGATGATGTTAAGAGAAGAATGTTCTAGATGGAAAGTTAGAGAGGACTTTCAGGTATGTTGTGGAAGGAATCGGGTCAGGAGAGGAGTCGGGGTTCGGGCACTGTTCGTAAAATTCTGCACGTGTCAACGAACGTGTTGAACAAGTAATATAATGATGAGAAGAGTATCGTCCCACATAGATTGATGATAATAAACCAATTAAATATTAAAAATGGACTAATTCTAAAATTTATCTAACTGATCAAAATATAATTGAGAACAAATAAAAATTGACAATTTTTAAAAACGAAAATTTTTAAACTGAAGGCAGATAATCAATCAGGTAAAATATGTTAGAGCATCCAATTTCACCATAACCACTAGATATGAATTTCGGATCATTATGCATACAAGAACAATATCAAATATGTGATAGCGGAATTTCCTAGTCTATTTACTATCCTATCTCTAGGTATAGCAAACCTACTCAGTTTATCAATTCACTATATTTCTATGTGAATTTAAATAAACATAAGCGCATTAAAATCTGTGAATATTCCTGGTTTACAATGAATCTTTTGGACCACCTTATCACCGAAAGCTACACGAATAACATGGTATATTTCTATCCACATTTAATGCATGGTTATATATTATAAGGAGCAATTGCATATTATTACTTCTCAGTCTCAAACATGCACATCGGATCATTCAAGTGGTGGCCAATCACCTAAACGCATTAAGCACAATAATATATAACTCACATGAATGAAATTACTTGCAAAGCATAAAAAGCATGAAATTCATATCATCATGATTAGGCTACATCGTAGCTCTAACAAAGAAAATTAGAACATAATAGAAGAAAAAACGAAAATATAAATTAAACTAAACATCTTGAATCAAAGAACAAGAATTCTGTCACCACATTTGTCTTCTCTTCAAAATACTTGAAAAACTCTCAGAACACTGAAAACAAAAACGATCTAAAAAGAAAAAAACTCCATGTTCCCCCAAGTTATCCTATTTATATGATAACATC